AGATTTTCGTTCCCTCAGCGCATATTTAACGCGTATAGCCGGTTGGATTGTACGCGAGAAGTGTACACGGCTATCACAGGTATTTTTTCTTTACCAGCATTTAAATTCTTTCTCCGCCTATCAGCAACGAGTTTCATTTGGTAAATACTGAAAAAATATCTTGGTATATATAATTTGAACCAAACGAAAAAATTTTTCAAAAATCCCTCACTGCAGTCTCTACTCTTTCAGTATTACTGGTGTTGCCCGTTATTTTCAGTAAAATTTCCATGTCTTATTTTTCTAAATAACGCCTGCTGTCATTGCGGAGGAATTTATCATCAATGACATGCCTGCCTGTAGCAAAAGAAAATTAAGTAGCAACGCGCACCAGACTAGCCGGTGCGATAATGCGTTTTGTGCAATTCAGCCCATCGAACGGCTGCCTATTAATGATTTTCACTGCGTTGTACTTTATGCAAAAATAGTTGAAACATTGAAAAATATTTAGAAATTTCACGCACCAGCGCATGAAAGCTAAATTCGAAACCCTTGAAGGGTGAATATCTTTCCGTGATTCTCAAGTTAATAGTTTACCCGCCAAAATTTTCATGAGGCCGTAGGTGACATCCGAGAGCGCGGGAAACCTGAATTTGAATAGGCAAGGTTGAGCGTGGACAGGGGTCATTACCCTAAAAATTCAGCTTTGCAGACCTTGTGATTCCCAGGATAATAATTTGCCCGCAAAAAATTTCACTAGCCCGTAGGTGATACCCGAGAGCGGGAGAACGCTGAATTTGAATGGGCAAGGTTGAGCGTGGGCAGGGGGTCATTGTCCTTTTCAGCTTCCTAGACCTCGTGGTTCCCAAGATGATAATTTACCCGTACCGTACTTGTTACCCGTGGGCAGGGGAAAGCTGAATTTAAATTTTCTGGGTAGAACGTGGGGGGCGGACATGCTCACAGTATTTCAGCCTTCTACCTTCCATGGTTCCCGAGATACTGATTTTACCCGAAAAACTTTTACGGGGCCGCGCGTGTTACCCGCGGATACGGGAAGGCTGAATTTAAATTTGCCGCGTCACCCATTGGCGGAGAGTACTATACCAAAATCAGCCGCCTAGCTTTTGTGGTTCCCGAGTTGAAAGTGCGGGACAAAATGTGGGATACACACACAAGCACACACAAACAATTCCGTGACAATATGTGTTTTGTACTGCTGTTACACAGCACAAAACGCATAAAAAGCGTAAATCCAAAATTTGTAGAAATGTATGCTTTTATTATTTGGGGCTGTCTATGTAGGTTGCAGTAGGTGTTGGAAATAATCTGTGTTCATTTGTTACAGATAGTGTCCTTAATAAATGTGGATAGCGTTGGCGAAGCGGAGGAGTGTTTCCAGCAGTTACAGCACCACATTCGAATGCTAACAAGTGAGGAGGCAATGAAAGTTCTTGTTCTGAGAATTGATTTGCCTTCCGATGCCATCAAAAATGCGTCCTTTTAATTTTTTTTTATCCGCCAGCACCGTGAACAGCTGGATGAAAGAGAAGACGCGCATACATCAATCATGCAATAAATACTGACTAAAAGCAGGCGGGTTAGAGCCGGAGGGCCTGTTACCAGATGTGTGCGTTTGTCCCAATAGCATTACTAGTTCCGGGTTTTCACACGACCTGTTTAGGATAGTAATGGATACTGTTCATCTTGTTTCATTCCGTGTACTGGCATTTTGCGCCTTCAAGATACTTCTTCAGGGTTGCACATTTGGACTTATCGCATTAGGAAGTTGGGGAGTTTTTTTACAACTGTGTGTACCATACATTGTCTTTTTTGTTTTTTCTTAACTGCATCAGGCATTTTCATATTTATTACTGTTAGTACCACTGTGGAAGTTTTCGTTATAATATCTGATTCATGTAAACTAACACCTCATTACATTATATTGTTTAAATAAACTTTTGCGAACA